AAACAAAACCGCACCTAAGAAAATACTGCACTTTGTAACACAATACCATCCGGCTTTGCCTAACCTAAAGGACACACTAATGGGGAAATGGCACCTTATAGAAAACCAACCGCAACTGAGAGAAATCTTTAAGGAGCCCCCCATCATCTCATGCCGTAAGGGAAAATCCCTATAGGACATCCTAGTTAAAGCTAAGCTATGAAGGCTTTATTAGAATTTATTCATCCGCGAACTGCAGGAGTCGTGTAGGCTTGTCAACACTTTTATCACATACAACACGTGGAACAACTGAGTGATGATTTGATTTGAAAAGATAAGGCCTTTGGGTTACGTCTTAAATGAAAGTTTAAAATCTGTTTTGATTAGATTTTTGTGTTTGCATTGTTTGCCCTAATGATATAACAGTAAGCTGGTAAAAAAGCATTTCACTGTTTTTAAAACCTTACCCATTCAGTTACAAACCATATTTTTAATTGCATGCTCTTACTTGAATCTGTTAGTATAAATTTGGTGAAATATTATGTCTTTAAAAGATTGTTGTCAAAATCAAGGAGCAAAAAAGATTCTGTGTTTATATCAGTCTGTAAATATATATTGATCATTATTCCAAATATTTAATTGCGCCACTTAGTCTCCCGGAAACTGAACTGTTAACTCGATCAAATGCCGATTTCTCCCCACTTCCACGACTTTATATTGCTTTTGTCTAAAAGAAGAAATTCTTACTACATCGTGCTGCAAAATAAGGTTGCTCTGTGTTTAAATAAAGGCCCAATATGGATAAAAGGCCGAAAGGTGAAGACTAAATGATCACGAAAAGGCATTGCAAGAATACATGTATGTTAATATGAGAAGGCAATCAAACAGAAAAAAAAAGATTGAAGTGGCAAAGCCAGGAAACCAGGGCCCGGTTGCTCGAACGAAAGAAGGTTAATTTAAACCAGGATTAAGCCAAATTTCAAGAACGGTTTTCTCGGCTAAGAACATTTAACTCGACCTTACAAAATACTTTTGAGCCTTTACTACGAGACACAGTAATGATAACACAAAATGTTACCCTAAGCAATGCATAGGAATATAAAACACAAAAACGGAACAAAAGTTTAATCCTGGATTAACACTAATCGGCCTTTCAGGAGCCGGGCCCAGTTTCACGTTAATACAACTTTTTCCATTCTAAATTTAAATTACATATTATCAAGTCTCTAATTTTTTTGCTGCAGTTGGCTTTCTTTTTGGCTAGCTCTTCCTGCCGGATTTCCAACCTTTCGCCAAAGACATCGGTGGCACTTTTGTTCAAGATTCAGAAAAGAAGTCTTGGTTATTAGAGTACTAGCCGATTCGTGCAAACGCCCCCCCCAAAAAACAAAAGTAAAGTGAAATCACCACAATAAAAAAAACATACGATTCTTACCGAAGGCTTGAAGTTTCCAAGGTAGACAGAGCAGCATCACACTTCAGGGCCCGATTCCTCGAAAGATTATTAAGTTTAACCCAGGATTAAGCCAAATTTCAAGCATGGTTTCCTCGTCTAAGAACATGCAACTCGAGGTTACAGTATACTGTTTAGTCTTTACTGCGAGATACAGTAATGATAACACAAAATCTTACCCTAAGAAATGTATAGGAATGTAAAATACAAAAACGGAACAAACTTTTAATCCTGGATTAACGCTAATCGACATTTCAGGAACCGGGCCCAGCAGAACGTACCAGACCGAAAAATCCTTTGGAAGCTAAAGGTAGCTATTTTCCGGACGGTTCTCTTTTACGCCATTAAGGGGCTAAAGTGAAAGCTAAGACAAAATAAAATACTTGACTTTTACGGTATCGAAGCTTGTTTTTTCGCGCTTTCATGGCAGTTAGGTTTTCATTCAGCCGGCGCTTTTCCGGGTTGCATATCGAGCGCCTTACTAGTTTCCCTGTTATAGGATGCTTTATGCTAGGGACTGGGCCCGGTTTTTTTGTCTTTGGGGTCCGCTATCTTGTTACTCGTGGGTATTAAAAGTTGTGTTCATCTATCCGTTCATCTCGTCCCATATAACATAGTTTGTTCATGATATCTTAACATGGCGGTAGAGGCGGGATAATTCAACACGCTCAGTGACGTTTTGACTTCTAAAACATTGAGGTGAACCCGATGAACAAGTATTATAAAGTCAACAATTCGTAGCGTGCAGCCGAGTATCTTCGTAATTCTACCGGCCAACACAGTTTTCTCACAAACATGGGCGAACTTTCGGGAATTACGCCGCCTCAGATGGAATGGAGTGACTCTGACTTACCCATGGCATTTAAAAGCTTCAAACAATATTCAGCTAATCTTTGATGGGCCTTTGAAGGCGAAAGAGGACAAAGTCAAGGCAACCTATATGCTACTCTGGATTTGCGAAGAGGGCCGAAAAATCTTTAACTCTTTTGACTTGACCGCTGATGAGAAAACGAAACCTGACGTGATTTTTGACAAGTCTGTGACAGATCTTGAACCTAAGTCAAATTT